GGAGCTTCTTCGGCCTCAGTCTTTTGTTTTATTGATTTTTAAGTAGATAGTGGAAAAATTGTTGAGGAGCACATGATAGTGGGGAGGGAGGAGGGGAATGGGAACTGTGCCTGGAACAGTGCTGCTTCAGGCTCAATCTTGCCGGGCTTTGCCAGGGAGAGGACGGCAGTGCTCGGCCTTACAGCATTTAAAGGGCATTTTCATCCTCAATGTTCTATACGTAAACTGAGCCAGTCCTACATCCCTCCCTCACAAGGAAAGACAGCATCAGCTTCCTGAGTTACAGAAAGGGCTGATGGAAGTGGGGGCAAGGCACTCAGTTTGCTCAGAAATGCTCCAGAAACTGATGGCAAGGCCAGGAGTTGAAACTGGCACTCATGTGTACCAACCCTGGGCTTCAAATATGAGTTTTTAAAATTATCCACTATTCCCTGGTTCTGTCTGTTCTCAGACAATACAGTCCCTTCTCCAGTACAGGTAAGAAACAATTAGCAGAGACTCAGTTTTTTTATGTACAAGGGCAACCACTGACTGCTTGAATTCTGGTAGTGTGAAAATCATACCTGGTTTCTTATTAAAATGCATTCCCTCTTGAGCTCTCAATCACCTACAAGTCATCCATTTGTCAACCCACTATTGGGATTTATACCCTTTTAAATTCTGGCCTAAGCTTGTTTTTTAGCAAGAGGATCTAGCAAATATCACCAGCCCTGCGACCTATTCAGTCCTGTGGCACAATAGCTCACAGCAAAAGCGCGATCTCCAATGGAGATATCACTTTGCAAATACACGCGCATACAAGGGGAGAGCTGCAAGCTGTGCTCAGCATATTCCATTTATAAAGATGGCTGACTCAACCAGATAAAATAACCCCAGTAGATTAATTTGCCATGAACAAATTGCTTAGCATAATATGAAGCTCAAAAGCTATTTAGCTGCTTTGCAGTTGATAACAGGCAGCTGGCTAGAAGGTCTCCTGTGATGAAGAGACAGCTTCCATGAAATTCTTAAAGATACTAAAATCTTCTCCTCCATGATATTTTTCAGGAAAAAACCCACAGCCTCTTCACTTCTTTTCTCACGTACTCCTTAAGCAGACTGATTTTTAATGAGGTACAGAGAAGTCTGCCTAAGCAAGACCTTCAGGATTTGGCATAGCATAAGCAAACATTCATTGTATTATACCATGCTGTGCAGAAATCTCTCTGTGTAGTGTATTAATGCCAGCTCTAGGGAAATTCACAATTCAAGAAATAGGACTGCAATAAGAAACACAAAGTAGATTTATCCCAGGTAAGATGACTAATGAGTTTCCTGAGGTTTAACGCTGGAAGAAACTTTCAGGCTTAAAATCACAGGTAATGTTATAATGCAGATTGCGTTGATGTGCTTCAAGTCACTTGCGGACAAGCAGTTTTCAGACTAGTTACCACATTTCAGCTACAAGTAAAAATACTCTCACCGTATTCAGTAACCATTATGAATGCAAACACCACCAGTGGCATTGTACAAAAGCCACATTAAATAATATTGCAGATCACTCTGCTGCTATTAAAGAGCTAGAGCACTCACCCAGCAATGCTGCTATTCCACATCCTTACTCCAGGCTAACCAAAGACTGTAAGAGAAACTAAGAAACTGCCCAAGTATGATCACTTCCAAAAAGATTCTCCACCCCTTAGTAACAGTAGGCACAGTCTACTTCTATGTGGAGAGTGGATAAAACTGCAGCGATATTGGAGATATTTAAACAGCCATCATGGAGTATCACCTGCTTGCTGTACACTGGACCACAGAACTCATTCTTGTCATTTCTTAAATGCAATAAGTGAACAAACTGTTTGACTACACCTTTGAAAAGTAATATCCTGGTTTTCTTTTCTTTTTCTCTGTGCTATCCTTGTGAAAGACTGTTTCAGTGGGTAAAGATTTACAGCTACAATGATATCACCCACCAACTCTTCCAGGTTAAGGTTTTGCGATTTAGAGGATGGAAATACACAAAAAAAGAGAAAATATCTTTGCACAAAGGAAAAATGGTGCCATTTTTTACAAGGCATTTAAAAAGGAAGCAAAAGCCACCACTTACCAAAGGCTCTGTCACATTCTCATTTGATTGCACTGTAAATGCAGAGGTATCCTAGATATAGAAATGAAAAACAATGATGCAAAAGTATTTGAGATGGAATGTTTGCAGGTGTCTATCAAAGACCTGATTTTTTTAATGGTTTATTCAGGTAAAGTCATAAGTAAATTCACATAGAATAAGATGACAGATAATCTAAATAGGTATTAATAATAATTATTAGTTAAGCACTATTAATATTAAAGACATTCCTTTTTCAGTTATATATTCTATGCTTCTAAACCATGCAATGTCATTAAAGGCAGTGAAAAACCCTTCATTAAATACATGTGAATTGCAAGGACTTTGTTTCAGGCACAATACACTTCGAAGTTGTGAAACTCGATCTTTTTTGCAGACTACATGTGCCCGTGCCTGAGGAGTACACTAGCTCTAAGCTACTTTCACATCTTCTTGATACTGGGCTTTTATTTGAATAGTAACTATAGTAATTATGGCTACAAAATTTTACCTGCATTAAGGCGGTACAAAAATGGAGATGTTTTCCAACATCTTACTCATTCAGAACCAATTAATTTGCAAAATATTGATGGGCCAAATCCTTTTCCTACTGCAGTGGGGGCATCAAATTTTTATTTCCCTGGGGGCAAACATTTTGCCTTAATATTAGAGGTGGCAGCCTTGAGCTTTGCCCCTTCCTTCTGGATCCTTTACTAATTTAAACGTCCTGGAGCAGAATGATTAAGCACTGGAAGACTCGTTTCCACCCTTGAATAAGCTCAGCTCTTTTGGGTGCTTTTAAAAAATGATGTACAGTGTGTGCTGTGGATGAGCCAGTCTCTAAAAGGACGCTGGAAATTAATGAGGTCCCAGGTTATCCACCTGAAATTTCGGATCTTGGCACAGCCCTGGAATTTGAAAGCATAAACAAGGTATCTTCACGCGCTGTATCTCTGCGATGCCTAACACAGAGTCTCAACATCTGCACAGCAGCAAACAAATAATTTAGGTTTAACTTTCAGATTAAAATATATCTTAAATGAAAATAAAGATGCAGGAACAAATAAAACTCATTTTATATATACACACGGAGAGTCACTGAAAGTATGTGAAACTGAGGAAGCCACGCTTTACAGGATTTTGGGATTGTGAGAAAAATCCACAAAAAAGCACAATAAAAAAGCTAAACCGGTCCTTTTAGGAGGAAAAAAAAAAATCAGTCCCTCTAAGGCAGTCGGATTTTTGCTATTAAATTCAGTCAGGCCAGGAGTACCAAGAGTATTAGCATCATTCTAATAACATCTAGGAATAATTTCTGAGAAGAGACAAGGTTTGGATTTGAGTCAGTATGACATTGTTGTGCAGCTCGTCTGTAGAACAGATTTCCTGAAATTGTACAGCCAGTCCTAATCCCTTCCTAACAGCACAGAAAAAAAATAATCTCAAAACATGTTTATTTCTTACCTGTGCAAATCCATTAAATGCTGCGCTGGATGCCTAAGTAGAAGTGAAGATCAGAACAAATTATCATTTGTTTACTAAATCACAACATGAGTCACAACATTTTTATTTTGCAAAATAAAAATGTAGGCCAGACATTAAAAAAAAAAAGAAAAAAATAATAAAATGAAGGGTAAGGCAGCAAGAAATTTGATGACAGTGCTACTTGATAACAGGTGTCACAGGCTTAAAGAAAACAACAAAAACAAAAAGCAGAGTAACTTAAGTATTTTTATTAAAAAATAATAATAAAAAAGACCAGATGCATTTAAGGTTAAACATATAAAACACAAAACCTGCGAGACACAATGTGCCTTCACAGTTCAAGGCTTCATTCACCATTTTGAAATGCATTTTCGTCAGCCTGCTTCATTGCACAGCTGAAGGGCACCACACTATGAACAGTTGCATGGCAATTTTTCAAAAAAAGAATAGCACAGGCTTAGGAGGGGCAGTGGGAAACACACAAATGGATTGTTTTTAAACGACAAGGTTATGCATGGCCTAAGGAACTCTTTGTCTAGACTAGGCTACACACTGGGGTAGGTACCTCTTCTTTATCAGCCTCAATTTCCTGGTACAACAATCCATATCTCCGGTTAGCAATTTCATCTTCAGATAAATCTGAGTTGTTGGTCTCATTGTCTTTAGGACTAGTTGAACTCTCGGTGCTAACATTTCTGGAATTTCCCATTTGAAACAGAGTCAAGGGTCTAGCTATCTCCTTGCTCGGTCCAGGATTGCTAACACCTGCCTGCTCCCCAGGCAAGCCTTGTTTTACTGGAGCCTCCTGACTTTTATTGCTTGTGCTCGCACCTACTTCTCCCCAGCTGTTATCAGTCCCTCCCAGGTCTTGTGTAGACCATTTATCACTAATGCCTAACCAAACATTTTCCATGTTACCTTCCTCTGAGTCTTGCTGCTTGGGGAAAAAGGGCCAATTATCCAGTCCATTGGCTTGGCCATCTGGCAGATTAGAAAACCCCCAGGAATCATTAGTAACTGTTGGATCCCAGTTTGCAAGCCAGGGGTCTGTTTCCAAGGCTTCAGGAACACCACTGCTACTAGGATGCTCTTCAGCAACTACTGCTGCTGCCCTACCTGTCACTTGGTCTTCTGCATTATCTAGGCAAGGATTACTGCAGCTTGTGCTAGCAGCACCAGCTGTCTCAGGCAGCAATGCCTGCTCTTTTTCAGCAGCAGCTTGACCTTCATCAGCAGCACTACCATTTGGGAGGAGGCTGATGCTATTGCCTTCAGTTCCTGTACCAGACTCTTCTGCACTGAATAATTCAGCATCACACAGAACATTTCCAGTATTTGTAGGGTCCTTTTCTGTGTGGTCAGTTACCTCTAGGTCAACATGTGCCATCATGTTTATACACTCCATGGATGTACTCTCTCCAGTACCATTGTCAGTTTGGTCTAAGCCATCCTCAAATGTCCTTTCATGGTCCTGATCCCAGATACCAAAGACTCTCTTAGGTTCAGTGCCAGTGTTTTCTACAGTTTTACAGTTGTCCCCTATTTTGTCCCCACCTTCCAGCCCTGTGCTCAACAATGGGATTTCTCCATCTGCCTCCTCAATGACACTGACCCCTTTGAATTCTTCTTTCCTAGGGTTTTCTAGGTTAGCACCACTACCTCTCCCAGCATCCCCACCATTATCTTCCAACTCATATAAATTTTCTACCTCTGCGCTGACTAAAATTTCAAGATCCGATTTTACTAAACCCTTATGAAGTTCTACCTCACTGTTTCCTTTGGTTTCACAACCTTGCTCTTCCAGTTCCTCTGTAACTTCTACCTCCTTGTAGTTAACAGCTCTGGTCTCTACCTTTTCACTTGGTTTGACACCTGCCCACTCTTCTTCCTCCTGCTCTGCTTCTTGCACATCACATGGGAGGGGTTCATCCAACAAGCTATCGGTTCCCAGGATGGGTGTCTCAAAACTGGTTATGGTCTCTAGAGGCTGATTGGTTACCGCATCTTCCCATGGGATATTTTTGGTATCCAGCTGGTCCTCCAGTGAAGTCCTCTGGTTTTCGTTTACAGAAGCTGACCCTTGTGCAGCATCCTCCTGCTCACCTACAGCAGGCCAAACACTAGCAGGCAGAGTACCCGTGGATTTGCTTGAGGTTTGCTCTGCCCCAGGGAAAAGCAAAGAATGGCCTGCAGTAATTTCCTGGCTGACACTGGGTGTGCTAACATCTAGGCCCCAGTTGAGTGAACCTAGATTAGTTTGAGATCTGTTAATATCTTCTGATGACCCACTGTTTGGGGTTTCCTCCATGATCAGGTTACACAGGGAAAGACTTTTTGAAGAATCAGGCTTTAAGCAGACAGAGAAGCAAAGAAAAAACACAAGATGAAAAAGATAAAGGTGGACTTGATGAGAAAACACAAAATTTATATTTTACTAGAGCAATTTTAATTAAAAGAATGAAAGTGACTAAATTAAGCCATTTAAGGAAAAGTTATGTGGTTTGCAACATTTGAAGGCAGTAGATTGCAATGTAAAAGAGCAGCAATGATAGGCAAAACCAGAAAACTATATTACACCACACTGATTAAAGCATGTCTCTAGAGTGGTTGCGGTTTTAGGGGGAGGTTTGCTTACCGGCTGCACCAATTCGCTGCTTGTCTGTATAAAAGAAAATCATACATATAAAACACAGAAAATAAGAACATGATTTACTTTGTTACAGCAGCAGTTCTTTAATTAGTAGCTCTCTAACCAGCAGCAGTTACCAAATTGCCATGGGGAAGAAGCAGCAGGTCCTCTCCTGCCACTCCACTGAAGACTAATCACAGGCCTCTGAATTTAAGCCACACTTCCAGCCTCTGGATTACATTATAAAAGAAGTTCTACATGTATGTTGAATATTCATCACACCTTGCTTTCCTCTGTGAGCCAGTGACATTTTTATCGCAGGTACCCTACTACATCTCAATCGTAAAGAAGGGGTTGCTTTGTGAGTTGATGAACAAGGAAGGAAGCAACCCAAGTGGCAGCGGAGCTTACTTGTATTTATACTAAGGCATCGCTGCATCACTCAGGCAGTGCAGACGGCCCTGAGCGTGCAGCTCTGGTTCTCCACCACCCTGTGCCACGCAGAGGCACTTACATCCACACAGAGTAAGGCATCGAGTCACAAAGCCTGCTGTCTACACTGCCACTTTGAACAGATACAAATGCTGCAAGGAAGATCAACAACTACTCTGCACTCAACTTATTGAGATAAACTTAGCAAAAGGTTGAGTATCCCTAATTTCAAACATTTAGCTGTGAAGCTCACTACTTACTCTTTTTTTTTTAAACTAGAGCAAAAGAGGAAAATAATTATAATACAGAATACATATATAATATTAACAAGCTATAAATAAAACTGTGTGAAAGGAAGACATTGATAAAGCCATCTAACATAAGCTTAGAGCAATAAATTCAAAACATTTCTGGGTCATTTTAGCTGGTCTAGATATTGGCAGCCTTGAAATTTTGGCTAGCCAAATTTCCGGCTTTATTTAACCTTTCCCAATAGAAAGAGATGAGCATTTAATATACATCACATATGCCATGTGTTCACAAAACAGTGCTGCAAATGTGAATGCATGAGAAGCGTCCACAGATTTCTGTGCTGGCTGAAGCTGCAAAAGGTCAAAAATGAGCGTATCAGGCTCCATGTCAAGCCAACACAGCTATCTCCATGACATAAAGTCAAAAGAAAGCTCACAAAAATGAGTTGTTTTCTTCCTGCAGATCATTGTACCTGATTTGGCACCAGGAGGAAGAAGGAAGGATTGATGCAGTTTCCTAAAGTAGCAGCTTCTTTTGTGAACAACTCCAGTTCAATGTGTGCCCACAAAGACAAGCTAATTTCTCTCTTCACTCCTGCATTTTGAGAAAATGGTTGTCCATTGGGTTAAAGTCCTGAGGGACTACACCTTCAAATAATTAAGACAGTGACTAGCATCCATTCCTACCCTCTAATAGCTGTAAATTCAGGCATGAGAATAAAAACAACACACACTTCGCTATAATGATTGTGAATCTTACTAGCCTAGACTTCTGACATAATTTTGGTTTTGTAGGCCAAACAACAGAGGTTATTTTTTGTTGTTGTGCATTTTAAACGATCCCCAGTGGCTTCATATACTTGAAAGTGTTTGTGATGGTCTGTAAATTCTTTGTCTTGGCTTTTGGTAAAAACATTATAAATCTGAGTTTAGGGTGTAACAAAATCAGAGGCACAGAAATATCCCAATTCGCAATGATAAATGTCAGGCTTACCGTCCATAGATCCCATGGCAATGTCTGAAAAAAGGAGCAGAAAAAAGAGGCTTTAGAAAAATACTGTTCATATACTACATGCTACATAACTGTGTGCATTAACTAAAAAGACAGAAATTATTTATATGCATATTTATTACACGTATATATTTTATGTATTAGTGCGTGTGTGTGCGCATGCGTACATATCTGCATATGCTTTTTGGTCAAAAGGGATGGGCAGTATGCAATGAATTGTGGTGTTTCCCACTTCAAAGCAGTCGTTTCTTCCCAACAAACTCACACCACTGCGTGCTTGAGTAACAGCCAGATTCTGAGCTGGTGACTGAATGACTTTCAATGGGTACAGGAGTCTCTGCAAAGTGTAAGCTTTAAAGAGTTTATATGGGTCAGGTTTTTAGCCAGATAAAAAATGGTCCAGCTATCCACTGAGAACAAGTGGGTTTTCCCATAACTCCAGCACCAGGAAGGAAAATGGCATGCTTTTTGGGAAAGAAAACAAGAAAGTTGATGAATGTTTTAATTTTCTCGTTCAGTCCATTAAGTATTTAACGTTAGTGACCTCTCAGCAGAAAAGCTGAATGGACAGATGAAAGAAAAGCAGCAGACTTCATGCCAAATATTAATACCCCCCCCCCCCATGGAAAGGAACTCTGCTGGTAGGTCTTAAAAGCTGTCTGAGATACTTCAAAACATATCTACTATATTCACACCTAGGTTAAAGTCCATGAAAAACAGAAACTAAAGACGTTCATAAAGTAAAACATAAAACTGTTCCTGAAATATTTGCAAATGTTAAATGTGACATCTAACATTTGCCTAAGAGAAAGGATTGCTGCATTTAGCTTCTTGCCTGCTTCTTATTTTATAAGGACAGAATGTCTCTCTGAACAACTTCTGCTTTCACAAACAAAAGACACAGTAATAACTCACTACTCAGATTTACAGGAAATTAACATCAACAGCCATTTCTCAATCAGTTTAATTTTGTTTAAGTCCAGGTACGTGCTTCTTCAGTGGATGTAATTCACAAGTGTACCTGCCTACTCCGCTGTAACATTATTAGCTGAACATTCAAGCTTTAAGGAAAAATGACAGGTCTCTTTCTTATAGCGCTAACTGGTGCAGACTCTAGATATCCTACAGACTTCCATGGAAGGACAGAGTGCTGATTTTTCATTTTTTCATTTTCCTTTTCATTGCTGATGAGGCTTTGAGAATGAGGGGGAAGGAACATACTGAGGGAAAGGCGACAGACCACAGCTAGCAAACGGAGGCGAGGGCCAGGCACGTTTAGAAGGGCCACGTCTGAAGCAGTCAGAGAAACAGAAAAGCAAGTGAGGAAGGGCAGACTGGGGCTCACTTACTGTGATGCGATCACCCTGGCAGAGCAGTGGAGGGAGGTAATTAATTAAATGATCAATAGGGAAGTCACGCCAGGCCTCCAGAGGCATCATGGCACAGACAACTACTCCTGTCTTCATGTCACTACTTCAGCACAATTTGCTGAAGGGAAAATATCCATGACTGAGGCAAAAACTATACCCATATAGAACGGCCACTTAAGTCTTTCTTCTTAATCTCCCTGCAAAGTAGCACAGGGCTTTCCAAAGACTGCGACCAGTGACTTCATTCTGTCTGTGCTGCCATAGCAATGACCCTGCCACATCCAGTGAGACCAAGACACAGACTGCAGGGCTGTCTTCCCTTCTTCTAAAAACACGGTGCTCTCACTCATCCACACGTTCCTGTGGACCATCCTTTCTCAAATATATGTGGGGAGGAAAAGTGAAAGGAGAGGAGAGGCTGAAGGCACTCAGTGAATGCTTGCTATGCACCTAGATGAAAAAATACAATGTACTTTTCTACACTGAATTATATTCTGTATTTCATGGTACAGCTGAATCTAAACCAACTCCTTACCACTAAAGCAATAAACTCTTCTACAATAAGTATAATATGATGTCAGGACAAACATGCTCTGTCACAAAAGTTAAATGTCTTTGGTTTAATGACCCCACTGATCTAATTAGTGTTATTACAAGACAAGCTGAAAGTGTAGAGTTAGCAAAGTCACAGCTAGAGTTTTCTGTCATACTGAATGTCAAAGAATTTCCTTCCCCTTCCCTGTTTAGAGGGAGCAAGAAAAACAACAAGAAAGATGCACAAAGCCTCTGTTATAATTAAACACTCCTCCTAGCAAACCACAATGAGAAATTTCAGCTAATGTTCAGAGTGCTGACAATACACTGTTTATCTGTCAGTGCATAACCCAGAGATCACTACAGATCTCATTATATAACTAGGACGGCACACCAAATAAGAAATTAACTGAGGAAAAGAACAGCAGAGAACCAGGACTATCTCAGCCTTAAAGCTTCTTGTCTTCTCACTCCTTTCCCAGTGTTGCATTCCTAAACAGCTGATTAGTCCTCTCATGTCTCACAGTATAACCCAGGTTAGTGATAGCCACAGGGATAAAAGATTTTGCTAACAGTGTGTTAATATTTTGAAGAGTCAAAGCCAGGTCATAAAAATTGTCAGAAAAACAGGCGTTGGAGAATTACAATGTGGGCACTAAAAGTTATTCTAAAGATGGAAAATATCGGCATGCTGAAGTCAAGGCCAAGGTACCAGCAGCCATTCTCATTGGTGGACATCTCATTTTACCACTTGACAATTTCTGCTCCTTCCAGTACATCATCAACTACAGGGTTACTGAGGGGGAAAGACAGATGGCTGACAGGAGCTGCTCACGAAGATCAAGTTTTTCAGACACTGCAGATACACCACTCATTAGTACGAGGCAAATCTTTGCTACCAAACAGCACATTGCATCTATATGCTTTGCCTACCTCAAGGCAAAGAGATACCTGAGACATGGGTGAATGAGTAACTCCTGTTGATACAACTTCTGGCTTGAAAGGGTCGAAGTCCAGATCTAGCAAAGATTCCTCTTTCTTAGCTTCAGGAACTTCATTCTGTTAGAAAAGAAACATAAGTCTTGAAAAACTCATCTTTCAAAAGCTGCCCTGGACAGCAAAATATTAAGAGGCCCAAGAAAAAAAAAAAATTACATCACAGACTTTCTAGCTACAGTGCAAGCCAGGAAGGGAGGAAGTTCTGAAGACTTTCCTGAGCTCGAGTGTAACTTTTAATTTTATTTTTATGAGCTTCACTCTTATGATGCCTTTGTTCTCTATGTAGTGCAGCTTTGCCTTTTCAGGCTAAACAAATCGCAGCCCTTTTGAAAAAGTGCTGAGTGTTCACCGTTTGACTGTGAAGGCCCTTTTAAAGTGCTTTGAGTCAGACATCAAAATTAAGAACTACATAAATGGCACCCAATGTCCATACGTTCTAATAAGCGAATCTCTCCCCAAACACAAACATTAGTAAAAAGCCAATATAGAAGGACATAAGTGCATTTGAATTAAATTTCAATTCTGAACATGAATACCAATTAACATTTAATGCTGTCCTTAGCTCTAAACTTCAGGAAACATCTTACGTAACACTAACTAAATCTTGCTACACTGATCTGCTCTTACAAAACTGGATTACATAGTAGAGCCTTTTTTGTTTGCAATTAATGAATTAGCCAAGGCCTCTGAGGTCACTATAAATATATAGATTGGTTCAATGGGCTACAGGTCTTTCCCTCTGTAAAGTAACACGAACAAATAATTAGTGTGCTCCAACATTAGTGTGAAACTGTACCTGAGTTTTAATTATCATTAATGATAAATATTCTAGGCAAGCATCTTTGTTTTGGTAACAAGGCTAGTACTGCCTACTGCTAGTTGCTCAGTGTTTATTAAATAGTTGGAAAAGCTTGTCTTTTGATGTACAGAATATATAGACAGTAAAGTATTCATTAGAATGCTATTTTGAAAAGTGTTCAAATTGGAAATGATACCATAGGAAATTATTTGTACACATACATTCACATATAATCTTATGTAAGAACGGTAACACAGGATCAGACCACATAGCCCAATGTCCTGTTCCTGACTGTGACCGAAGTGTACACCTAATAAACAGGGCAGTCATAAGAACAGCAAAACTAGGAGATAATAATAATAAAAATGATGATGCTGGTAATAAAATAAACAAACAAAGCCTTTCTATTATTAAAACATCTAAGAGTGTAAACTTTCCAAATTAGTGTTACTATTGGTAAACGAATGTTCAAATGTAGGTAATTAATGGCTTCCATATGCCACAAGACACCTGAGCTCTCTGTGTCACCTGAAAATGTGATCAAAATAGCTCCTCAGCTCCCATGCTAGGAATGACAGAGTGACCTGGAACACTCCAGTCTGGAAGAGGAGTGCTAGGGGTGATGTGAGCGGAGTTTACACCAGCGTGAGAGGCACAGGGGTTTAGCAGCTCCACGACTCCTCCAAAGCAGGAAGGCAGGTGGCAGTGAAGTTAATGGGGGCAGATGTGGAATAAAGAAAAGGTGGTGGTGCTCCATGTGGCACAGAGTTCAGCTAGGGACCTCCTTGCCATTGGGTAGTGTGAATGCAAAAAATTTACATATGCTGAAAGACTGAACAAACTTGTGGCAAAGCAGTCTGTTGAGGATTATTAAATACATAGAAATTATGTTGAGGAAGCCCCTGAGCTGCAAATGGCTGGAGGCTGGGAGACTATAGGAGAATCACAGAATCATAGAATAGTTTGGGTTGGAAGGGACCTCTAAAGGTCATCTAGTCCAACCCCCCTGCTGTGGGCAGGGACATCTTCAACTAGATCAGGTTGCTCAGAGCCCCGTCCAACCTGACCTGGAATGTTTCCAAGGATAGGGCGTCCACCACCGCTCTGGGCAATCTCTTCCAGTGTTTCACCACCCTCAGCGTAAAAAATTTCTTCCTTCTATCTAGTCTAAATCTACCCCCCTCTAGTTTAAAGCCATTCCCCCTTGTCCTGTTGCAACAGGCCCTGCTAAAAAGTTTGCCGCCATCTTTTTTATAAGCCCCCTTTAAGTACTGACAGGCTGCAATAAGGTCTCCCCAAAGCCTTCTCTTCTCCAGGCTGAACAACCCCAACTCTCTCAGCCTTTCTTCATAGGACAGGTGTCCCATCCGCCTGATCATTTTTGTGACCCTCCTCTGGACCCGCTCCAACAGGTGGTGTAAGGAATACCAACTTTTTTTGCCTTGTTTTATATTCTTCCCTTGGCTTCTGCTTTTGGCTACTGGTGATGACAAATAACTAGATAACTGGTCTGACACACTGAAGCCAGTGTTATGGTCTCACATTTCAACAAGTCAAAACCAAAACATCCCTCCCCACCAGTAACCAGTATTACATTCATTCTGTCATGCCTTTCATCTGATGTATTTAGATTTCATCACATACGCCCTTGAGGCACTAGTACTCATATGCTGATAATAAAATGTACGTACATCATACAGCTTGATGAAACAACACAGCATTAGCTATCATATAATCAGAAATGGATGGAGATGGAAAAGTTAATTATCTTTCAGTGAGGTTCAAGAATGAAGTTGTTACTTGTGAGGACTGAATCAAATGAATAGGAGTCTCACTTAGGCCATGCGAGATGACAGCTAAGGTATCTGTAGTGACAGGGTACTTACTGATCGCTGAGTGCAAATATTCATCCGTTACCCTCAGACCAAAATGAAGAGAACACTTGTCATAACGTTAGGAACAAAGGCCCAAAAAAACATACAGAGTAACTGAGATATCACATTAGATGGAGATTTAGGAGAAACAGGAACCTCAGGAAATCCCTCGATAATGGACAAAGCTGTGACAGGAAGGTCTGCCAATCATCCTGTGTTAATTCCACCATAGCATGATGAAGCATGAATAAATGCCGCATTTGAAAGAGGTGGCTGTGGCAGAAGCAAGGCTGTACCTCTCAGAGGACATGTATGCACAAGGGATGGAGAAGGCACAAGAAACCTGCAAGGACCACCAGAACTGCCACCACTCTGCACACAGTCTGTACAAGCCTTAAAATAGCCCTGGCAGATATGGGTTGTTCACTCCAGAGCTGTCAGACACACTCAGACACGTTAAGTACCTGGAGGGGGCATATTATAAAGGCCTACAGTGTCCAAGCTAGTAACTGGACACTAGGGAGCAATGTGATGTGAAAAAAATGAGATAAAGCAAGGAACACTCATTTCTAAATGATCCTTTCATCCGGTCACCCAGATATCACATCTTCTCACCTCTTTCTTTTACTTAGCAGTAATTAAATCCATTCTTGACAATGAATAAACTGGAAGTGTGAGCTGCTTTGTTGAATCAGGGCCAAAATATTCAACAGCATCAAGCAGAACTGTCTTTCAGCATCTTGCACAACACCGAATGCATTAGTACTGCTTGGTAAAGAAAGATGAACAACAACAATTACAGGCTATTTGTGTTCCAGAGGAGAAAACTGTTTGGCCTGTTTGTAATCCTCTCTGAAACATGGGATTAAAGCAGCAAAGCTCTATTCATCAGCCTGTTGGTTTTGTGCCTCCGTGTGAGCACAGTGCCAGGGACACCAGCGGCGGTCCTTTGGGAAGTCCTGCACCATTAGACAGCTTTGCAGGCTCAATAGCTTCCTCCATACTGCCCAACAAGAGCTCTGGGAGATGTCACAAGCACCAAGAGCTTATGTTTGCTGTCCATGTTTTCTGTGGATTTCATACAATAGATTTTCAATAACTGGTTCTCTTACAGAAGGATATAAAACCTATACATCACACTATTTAGGTATGCCTGTACATACTCAGAGATCTCAGATACAGTAAGGACGCTTTAGTGATGGGGGTGGGTTTTGCGGAGGGAGAAGTGCAGATGATTCATGAGAAGGTGGCCAGGGAATAGCTTAGGTCATTCCCAGGTCACTGACTGTGGAGGGGGGAGGGACATAAATCACTCACTGAAGGGAGATCAATTTTTCCTTGAGAGACAAGGGAGAGATTTCAGTTCTCAGGAGCACGCCCCACCTTGATTATGCCATTCCATTTTTATACCAATCTCTCGCAGAAAGGATGTAAAGATTCTGGAAATGTGACTTGCACCCATTTAAAGCCCCGTTCCAGTGTGAGCTCTTAATGGAAAAGCAAACCGGTTCCATTTCTGCCTCCCTTGCTGGCCTGACAGGTGAAGGTTAGGTGGATACAGCATTTAATGCAGGAGGCCACATCTAGCACAGGTTACACCGACTCTTACCACTCATGTCAAGGCTCACGCTGCCAGAGTGGTAACTCCCATGAAGTCAGGGTGCAATCATGCAACAGACCTGCAACCTCCCTTCAAGGGAGATGCCATTGATTCTTTAATTGTACGGGGACTTAACTATAAATAACTCTCTTCTCTTCCAAATAGATCCCTATGGATGGCAATGCCTTTTTCTCCCCTCCACAAGAAAACAAAACATCACATGTTCAAATTCTCTAAAATAATTTTGTTTTGCATTGCTGTGCCTACATTATCCTGTGTTGCCAAATGAATTAGTACAAAACCAGTAATTCACATGAAAACAAAAATTCATAAACATTCTGCATAAGCTTCAGATCTGCATATTTCTCCCCAGTTTATCAGACGCAGGCTCAGATTTCAGAGTTGTAATTACTGTAACAGAAAGGGTCCATTATTGAACAACCAGCAGTTACCATAACTGCATAAAAGCCGAATAACCGAATACATATTATACAGACTTATTTTACACAACTGTGGCTTTTCTGTTTGTTATATGCAATTTTAAAAAAAATTATAATTTCATAATAATGGGATAAAAGTAATTTTGATCACTTCTCTGCTGTGTAACTAATGTTTCTATGAGTCAAAACCAAGTGAATGAATAATCTATCTGGAGCAGCCTTTTATACCTGCAAAAAGTTGATTAAAACAGCCAAGTTCCTTTTTTTTTTAAATCACTCAAAAGAAAAAAGGAATACTTTTATGATTTTGATGGAAGAAACAGAAATAATGAAGGATCACTGTAAAGTGCCACTTGAGATGCTTAGGATTAGAAGAAAAGCATCTTAAATGAACACTCAGCTTGCAATGCAACCTGGATGCAGTTAAATCTCAAACATGGCTGCTTTGCAGTATTTTTAGCCAGGCCTCTCAGGAAATCTCTCATTTTTTTTCAATGTGTTAGCAATGTTAGCCCTTTTGAGTGATTATGTGTGGCCTATTCAAAGATAAAATACCATATGTGTCACCCTTTCAAGAGAACTTAAAATGGTAATTGTGCCTCTGCCTTCTACCTGTACCCTCCTCCTTCGTCCCCATGGAGTTCAGCCCCAAGGCCACTATCCTGGTGAACTTAGGGTGATTGCAAGATTGGACCCATACACCATCCCCTGAAGCTTACCTGTGATGGGGTCGTCACATTGATTTCTGGGACAAAGTTGTCGTCAAATAAGTTAATGATGTTCTCCTGTTGCAACTCCTTTGTTGGTGTGAGCTTAGGCAGTGGTGGGACTGGCGGACCTTTCCTCAGCTAGGCAGACAGCAAAAATGTCACAGACTAGTTCAGGGATAAAAGAAAGAGCTTTAAGCTAGACCTAAACAATTTGTGTTAGGTTTTTATCTCTGCTGCTTCACCTTAAATGTGGGAATAAGCCATGGGTTGAAAGGAACTGTTTGGTTGTTCACCACCAAATGCCTTGAAATAAACATTGTGGGAAAAGCAAAACAACTCTATGTTTCAAACTCATTCCAACTCAAGGGTTAAGATTTCATACAAAAGCATTTCTTGGCAGATTTTTTTCTGCTGTGACGGGCACACAGTGCAAGATACTTCCTCTCCTATGCAGCTCATAGTTGGAAGGGTGATGCTGCGCAGAACCAGGCCTCTGTAGCTTTTTGGCTTCCTAAGTTCATTCCTGTTTAGCTTTGCGATTTTGTACCTGCCCACCTGTCGCTACCTTTAAAGCCTACTTAATGCTAAGACCATATCATTTCTGGGAACCACAGCACCATTTTGGGGGACCAGAGGAAACAAGTGTGCTCACATGTAACTAAATGCAAAACTAAATTTCTTCTGATGTTCTCCCACCACAGAAATAGCAATCAGCACGTAAGCTATCCCAGTTCTGAAAACATCAGTAACATCAACCCCAGTCTTTGATATGTTCACGAAGTATCACATATAGCTCTTATGCTACAGATGAAACTGATGCATGAAACTGATTCTTATTTCACCGATACTGGTGAGAATAGAAATTACACCAGTGACTCCAACAGTGTCAAACTTCTCAATCCAGTGTTAACAACAACAAATAAGCTTTTAATTATCAGTAGTTATCACAGCAGTCTTTAAGCTAGCTCTATTATTTACTGTTTCAGAGGTTGGCCAGACCAGTGATACTCACTGGCTAATTTTTTTCCAGGGTAAGCAAAAATTTTAAGATGAATGAAGAGCAGAAACATATAATGTACTGAAATTCATGAGAAGGTTTTAGAAATAGGTTTTTCAAACTATCACTGCTAACACTTCTTAAGAAGTGTTTTGCTTTGTCACCACAAGTCCCCTCAGTTCACCGGGCACCTTAAATTTTCTTCATTCCCTCTTACATAAAAACCACTTTGCACCCATGCTTGTGACACAGGGATGAACAACCAATGAACAGAACAGAGTCCAACAGAGCCAGTGGCCTCCCTGTCATTTCTCAGTCACACAACCTAATGAAAAATCCACTATGTACATCATCTCAGCTATCTTTTACTGCAAAACAGGCCAGTTTCTCCTGTTAGGTTTCCGCTTACCTGTGTGGGTGACTTAGGCCGGGCTGGTGCCGGAGATGCTGGTGCCAGCATATGATTGGGACTAGCAGTAGGGCTAGGCAGGGGAGAGACCTCCTCTGGCGGTGACGGAGTTTTTGCAATGCGGAGTGGACCTGAATCACTAGACAGAAACAAAGCAATGGCGAGGACATACATATCATGCTGACTTATCACCTTGACAGTTTGATGCAATAGTTGAGCTGCATCCCTGATGTAATGCCAGTGACCACAAAATGCAGTACACACTGGAGATGAACCGAGCCATTATATAATGGCTAAAACTAAAACTGCAATTAAATGCAATTAAAATTCAGTGACCTACAGTGTCAAAAGAAGTTTTAATTTTGAGTGATCTTGATTTTTGGAACATCTGTTTACCGGATCATTATAACTTGAGGAAAGCAGAGTACCTGCATTTTTTCAGATTCTGTATTTGAAATAGTGTTTCATGTATAAGTTTGTAACTATCATAAAATGTGAGATGGAATTATTGTCTTCATTTCACACAGTTCTCAGAATAAAAAGCTCTAAAGATAAAAATCTCAGGGGAAGGCATAACAATGAATAATGCAAATCATTTTAAAAGCTCAGCAACTTCAGAAAGGTTCCAATAAAATAAAGCACAACCAAGATTATTATAAGGATATCACTATTTAGAGGGATGACTCACCACAACTATAAACAAGCAGTAGTCAAGTGACTTCAACAGAGCTCTGCTGATACTAAGAAAAGATCTGATGAAGTCCTGAGAAAGGATCTGCCCTTCCCATGCGAGGACCTGGTACAAACACTGAGACATACTCAGCTACCTAGAAATGCTGAAAGCTTACAACTCGCGGAGGCTATAAACTACAGCACTCAACAACCACAGTACTTGGTAAGAGAAGAGCGACTCCTACACATCTTCAGGGAGAACAGGAGCACTACCTGATTGAGGAGACCACATCATAAACGTGTTCCTAACGCTAACACAAGCAAAAGTTGTTCTTTGGAAAGGACAGACTTAGCTCACACTCACCACCTCTTTCTGTGGAAATATTAAAAAAGAAAAAATAAGCAGTTATTAAGAAATTTCTTTCCCAGGTACAATATTTGCCTTCAGGATAGAGTATTTAGTAGCATACAAGTTTTTAAGATGTTTCTTTTTATACAGTTCTTTAAAGGAAAGATTAGGTACTATACTTGTCTAGTAACTACTTCTCATGCATCTAAAAAGGAAAGCTGTTTTATCTTACAAAGACCTACTCCTGAGTAGTCTTTTAGAGCACCATAACTAATAATGGAAGTCAAAATCTATCCAGATTTTCACATAAGGCTCTGTGAACAGTACAGCAAAAGAGAGTAACATGGTAACTAAAAAAATAATGTATTTTTAAAAAGCATTTTAAAAATAAGTTAAGATGATCACATGGCATTAACCTATGTTTACTCATTTGCAGCAAGATTTTTTTTTTCTCTCATTGATGGAAAGAGTAATTCAGTGGGAATGAGCATGTGCATGCTGGACATGGTCTAGGAGAAAGAGGTGGCCAAAATACCTGTTTATTACAAAAACTGCTTGAAGTTTTCCAACACTACATTATTTTTCATCCCATAAAAGTATTTTACAAATGCTTTATGAAAACATAGTCCAGCTTGTGAGTCCATCCTAAAGGGGCCGGAAGTGGTGACGCATGAGCTAACAACTCCTTGGAGACAGTGTGTAAGTATATATGAGCATGGATTAACACTTGAGCTAATCCAAAACAAAAATTTTGAACACATTCTTAATAAAGTAGTTCTGAAGTTTGCATTAGGTCAGAAGGTTCAGTATTTTATTCTTTGTTATTCCAAAGTGAGATCAAAACAAATGCAGAAATATCAGCTATATGTTTGAGGCAGATGTTAAGTTGCTTGGTCAGTCTTAATTGTTGCTATTCTGGGTCCAGCTTGAGAGCAAATTAGCAGTAGCTATAACATTGTTCTGATCGCTTCTGATGAGCTGGGATTGGCTGGAAATTCAGGATTTATGTATTCACTCTAAATATCATTGTGTTTTGATAAGTCTCACTGTTTTATAATTTCAACCTCTTCTGCCTATCACTATTACAGTACTGAGAGGTCAAATTATGGCAGAAAGACTACATTTGTTGCAAGCAAACAATCACAAATACTGCACTGGCATCCACTGACCTTAAGAAAGCACCATCTGATTTTAAAAGTTTTTTGCTTTTATTTTTATTTTAAGACAACATTTGTCTTGAAATTCATTAAAATATGGCATTTTGTGACATTCTTTTTACTTCAGCTTTTCAGCTTTTATGATGCATTCTCAGATCACATTTCTTGACTTTTCCTCAAGAGCAGAGGAGATAAAAGCTGACTTACAAAGGCTGGGATTCTCACCTAATCATATGCCTTTAGGAGCTAAAATCATCTAAATATTTCAAGGCTTTAAAAAAATTTATGAGCATTAGTAACACTGCTGTAGACTAATCATCTAAGAATAAATGAGCTATATACTTATCTGGTGTAAATTGGTGTAACGGTCTACAATGAACTAGGCTAAATTGCAACAGCTGAGAATCTGGCCTTTATTCATTTTTTGAAAGGAAAAATAAGTGGGTGATGAAGGAAGTTTTGCACCTTCATTCATGCTGAGAAGAACTTCATCTGAAGTACCTTCATCTAGTACCCTGAACGAACAGACCCAGTGACCGTGTTGTGCAGCAATCGCTACACGTGGTGTGGGTGATTACTACATATGCTGAAACCCACAAAGCCTACTACAATGCAATTCATTAAAAAAAGCAATGAATTCACCTTGGTGCCCCTTGAATGGTGAAGGCTTTGTCTGCATGCTGATCTCCCAGCTTCGTCATCACTTCATATAGTTTGTGACATAGCTGAGAAAACAAAACACTTGCCTGAGTTTATATGAAGCACTACAGTCATGATTAAAACCACAGGTGATAAATCTGGTCTGATAACTGATAATCTGATAACATATAATCTGATAACCTTAAAATGGCATATAGATCCTTCCAAAATTACTCAGTGCCATGTATATCAAAAGCCTAAGTGGAAACCTATCAAAATCCATAGAATCAAAGATAACAGCAGTTCTTCAAAACCATAAGCTGGTTTTCAGAGAACAAGTTTATATGCATGACTGACTGCTGCCTGATTTCTGATGAAGGAGGTGGCCTAAAGTTTAAAGCAACATGGGTAGCTGAGAAGATTCATGTTTTCCCCTCAAAATCCTAACCCCCAATTTACGTGGGACTTCAGTCAAGCGAGTTCTCCATACCATTTTTGTTCCTATTAGTAGGTTACTGCAGATAATACACTACCACTTAGCAAGGTACATTAAAAAGATGCTCACTGGAACTGCTCAATTTGCCTAACAGTCCCAGATACAACGTTGCGTTGCTGACAACGTATATAGCAGTCTTGAAGGGAATGCTTGACATGTTTTTCTTGTACTGATTAAAGCAATGAGATGCTTAGCAATTGGACACGGAAAAAATACTGAAGGCAACAGTATACTAAAAAGAATGGAGAAGTTATCAAAATAGAAAGTGAATTTAGTGCTACAACTGATAATGCACTGTAATCCAAAACTGTATGGGCTGCCCTTTCCTTAAGGAGTGTACAAAAATGGCAAGTCGAAACCAACACAAAGGTTATGGTACAAATCTGGATCTAGGGCAAATTCTCATGTGTGTCTCTGCTAGATTTTTACTGCTGCATTACAAGGCATTTGCTTGCTGTTATGCATATTACATACTCCATTATACATGAGATATTCATTTTTACTCACTAAAGCTATTTCCTTGTGAAACTTGGCTTCGAGGCTGGATACATTTTTGAAGGTGTTCACATAGAAGCCAACTCGTCTACAGAAGATGGCATGAAGAAAGGAAAAAGAGAATAAAAGATAGGGGTGGGAGGGCCAGAAAGGAAAATTAATTTTTTTTTTTTTCCAGACAGGAAGCAACATTCTTGACTACTATTCTCAGCAAAGCAAATAATTGGATCGAATGTCAAAATTTCAGACTAGTTCGTTCATGATTATTTCCATTTGTGTTAAGAACCATCACATTTCACACCGCACAGAGTGAACCAAGTTGAGACTACTCCATAGCGGGGGGTTTCAGCTTGTTTTAGAGGAGGGGAAGATTGGAAAAGGATTGGCACAAGTGTGGCACAAGCACACGGAAGGCAAGGTGCTCTGGGTACGCTGTCTCCCACCGGACAGCGGGCAGCCATCGACTGAAAAGAGAGAGGTACCACTCTGGCACTGTGAGCGCCTGCGCCCTAGATGCTATCGCAGCACCTAGGTGATGCAGGTGCATCTGGAGGCAGCTTTAAGATATACAGCTCAGTATGGCCTGGGGGTGTGGGTGTCCCATGCTCAGCCCTTCTTAAAGAAATCAGCCCTGAAATACATGCATATGTATGTAAGACAAAATAATTTCTAATATAGACTAGACATTTTTGCACATGCAGTCAAAAATCTGCTTGCTTGGAGTGATTACATACCTCTTGTACGCTTCGAAAGTAGAAGGTATTTTCTTAGGTTTTGAATTATTCGTTTTCCTATTTAAAACTTTCACGTGTAATTTCTCCAAACTTTTATTAACAAAAATCATCTTTGGCATAAGAGTAAGCCTTCAAAATGCCAACTCAATGGACCATTTTCTTCCTGAAGAATTGTAATAACTAAAAAAAAGGACTCTGAAAGCAACTGCTTTCTGAATTATGCCTATTGCTCAAATTAAATTCTACCTTTCCCTGAGACTATTTAGTGGGCAACACATATTGAAATAAAAGGGCCCTTACTCTAAATCATTCGTATGCCGTTTTACTTTTAGTAAGCCCATAAAATAAATATCTTGAAGTGCTAAGAAGCTTTTCAACTGAAATAGGCAGAAACACAGCAGGAAAACCCTCTATTGATCTGAAATTTAACAGGAATTAATTTAGAAGGCAGAGAAGGCAGAGAAGACAAAGAATACTTCAGTGACTCACAATACAGTTCCACTCCAGACTGTCATTTGTTAAAGAACACAGCACACTAATGAGATGCTCATTTTTCTACTGCTTTTGTTCTCCTGTTCATTTTGTCCGGATTTTCTGTATAAACACAATCTATGATTATACATCCCAAATGAATGATCTATGCCACCAAATGCTTTTACATCGCAGACATAGCACAAAACTATGAAATGTGTATTCTGAAGTAGTTATAATAATATTTTTCCCTTCTTCTACTGTTTTGGTAGTATTTTATAGGAACTTGGAAATGACAACTGCCATAAAATCTTTACACATTTGTAAGGTTCTTCATTTTGATACCTTTTACATAAAAATGACCTATAAATAGACCCACTGCAAATCTTCTAGAAAAGCATGTAGCTGCTCTGTATGGTTACATTTGACAGTGGAAGCATTTGATCCTTCTTATTAACAAGTGGCTTTTTTTTTCCCCTTGAAAGGATCAGGTATCCATCACCAAGATTTCTGTGAAAGGTGACGGAAGCAGCGGGTCATGGTCACGATCAGCTGTTCTGTGCTCTGCCACAGTTCTTTATCCATAAAATGGAGACCTTTTTGCGCCTCAGAATGAAGATATGATAAAGAACCTTAAGTGCCAAGATACACTGAAAGAAATAAGCATAAATACACTTACAATAAGTATAATTTTGGATCATTTGCAGGTATTTTCCCTGTTTTTATTTAAAAAAGATAATGGATGGGATCTTCAAGAAGCCATCAAAACATTTTCTATCAGCTCGTTAAAATCCCCTGGTTCCCTTCCCTTAGTCCCCCTTTAGGCCTTCCAGACAATATCTGTGTAGGCTTACCGTGACCACAGAGATGGCAACTCTTCTTGTAAATCAGTGTTAAACTCTTCAAACACCTTCTGTGCTTTTTGAAACTCTTCTTCTGCCTAAAACAAAATGAAACAGGGTGACTTCTGCAATCACTATGATACAGCAAAACCTGCCAAAGTTGGTTTTGTGCATTTTTTTTTTTTTTGTGGGTCTTTTACAATTTTTATTAACAAAGGATGTGACTCAGTCCCACACCACACAGTCCAACACAGGACTTGCTATCCCCTCACTCTCATCAAGAGAGAAAGTTAGGGCTCAAACGGGACTCACTCCTGAAAGAGGCTGAGCGCGCCCTCCCTACCCACCAAAATGCTTAAGGATATCGCTAGTTCCATTTCTGAGAGAGGACAAAGAAGAGAAACTTTGTACTCGGTCTCTGCACAGAAACAAATGCCACCCAAGCTCCTGAAGTCTTCTGCCAGCATCCTTCTTAGTGTGCTACCTTGGTAATTCTGCCTTCGTCTTTTCTTTTTGAACTCTGCAGGGCTTCTAGATGATGCCTTGCACTGTCGTAGTCCACCAGCTTTCTGCTTCGTTTTGCAATGCGAGTCTGTACAGAGGTAGAAATGAAAGTCAGGTCAAATGGTGCTTTTTTAAAAGCTTTTTTACCTAAGTTATCATTTAAGTTTTTGATATATTTTTATTATCCCTCATCTGCTGTTCATATCTGACTTACTATAATATCATACAGGAACATGGGCATGGTAAAAGAGACAAACTAATCACCTTATTTTAAATAAGGAATCCATTTACAGATGGTTTTTTGTGGGCGTAAGGCTTACAGGCCTTAGAAGTGAGATATCAATGTTATGCAAGACTTGTCTCATTCTCCAGAATAAGTGGACCTGTTAAACTCATGGTAACACCATCTTTTTCCCTTGTATATAGTGTGCAAATTTAATGAATAATTAACATAATTTTTTTCCAGAGTTGGAAAAATGCTTAAAATATACTTCTCAGTATAGTTGCTCTGACACATAACTAAGATAACTAGAGTTCAACATACAACAGGAATTCTAATTTACCTGATATAATTCTTTTATAACTAAAAAAAGAGTCTTTTGATGTATACTGAATTTACAAAGCTGTATATTATATGTAAATTCCACATGCTGAGAGGGCATAAGCACAGTGTGATTTATGATCAAGTTTGAGACTGAACATCAGTAATGTTGGGATTTTTTTTTTTCAGTATTAGCCCCTGATGTAAATGACAAAAGGGATGACTGTGTGATACCTACTGTTATAAACCATCACAAATAATTTCCAGCTATGTCCACAAAGTCACATCCGAATATAAAAGTATCTACCTCTCACCTGTAATGAATCTTTATCCCCTTTTCTTTTAGCAACCATCTCCCTGGACTGTACACTGGACAGGCATCTGGGAGAAACTAGAATCTGCATAACAGTCTCTCCTGATGTGTATTACAAAATCTTTTTATAACTAATTAAAAGACAGGAACCATGGCTTAGTTAAGAGAAAGATATTTAGATACCTACAGGTGCATCTAGCCAATAACAAAAGGCCTGCTTTTCATCTTGTAATTCGTCTGCATTTTAACAGCTGAAGAACTTGATCTGTCCCTGTTGAAGTCAGTGAGAATTATCTCATACCAAATAAATCGGAGCAGGAAAAAAATATTATAAAAGTTTTATCTACAAAGGCTAATTTACTTCCAAGGCCTACTGCATGAAAAATATTTTTGTTCACTTGGAAAATCAGTGCAGCCTGATGTCAGGGATTTACTTACAGAACAACATCTTTTACATTGCAGAAGAGAATGACTTCTACCTCCCCCCCTTTTTTATTTTTCTTTGCTTGTAATCTCATTTTCTATTTATTTTATGACTCAACAGTAATTTTATAAATTGTCCTTTATAGGAAATCATCACTGTACTTTGATATCAGGAAATTGTCCTAGATATGTATCCAAGGTCAACAATGACCCATCCACCAGTTTTTGATGGAAGTCTTCCCAAAGTTCATCACATTTCTGTAAAGGTAGAAAAGAGAAAAATGCACTTAGTAGTTTAATTCCCCTCCAAACCTAGGAGAAATACAAATGTAATTGGTAAAGATTAATCTTCCTGAAGTTTTAAAATGTTTTTTATGACAATAAATTAGGGTGCACTTACAAGGTAAATGAAAAGGAATGCCTTGACATTGCAAGTTTTAATTCACAACAAAAGAAGTTTTAGCTTAAGAACTAGTTTGTGTTTTCATTCTTTCAAATAGTAACTGCTATGTGAAGATAAGGATGTCACAGATTCAAGGTCGCCCTCAGGGTTTCAGGTCCCTGACGGTCAACAACGCAGAATCTGAAGCTGCCCTAGTTCTTACGCCTAAGTATGTTCACTGATGATGAACCTTCCTTATAAAGAAAAGAAGTACAACTAACAATAGAAGAGTAAATAAAATAAAGGAAAAAATAAAGCAGGTTTCCCATCAATTACAAGGATTTGTAAGCTTAGCTTTGCTTGGTCTTTTTTAAAATAAGAGCTGGGGAGATCCACCCTAAGAAAGGTCTTTCCATCCCATACTTTTTGTGCCATTAAGGCACATTTGATGAAATGGCTGATACACAAACAAGAACTCTACCTCGCACTGCTAAAGAACTGCAATTCCAGATCTGCAACATGCCAACATCAGCAGGCAAAATAAACAAAATCCCCCCCCGAAGCTATAGTGCTTTTCCCCAGTCCCCTTTGCAGCTCTGGGGTAGTCACCAGGAGACATCCCTTGCAGTTTTCTGGTTTTTAAGAACATGTTAATGCAGCTGATGTGACGAGGACCCCATGGGGAGCAGGATGAGATTCCTTGCCAGAAGCAAATTCTGTTACATAGAGACATAGTTCTGGAGGTCCTGGGTTCTCAACTGAACAAGTCATCAGCACGTGTTAAACATCCTGATTCCCCTTTTCTTTGCACATTTCAAAAATCACTGAACTCCCTCCTTTGATGGGAGGGAGGCTAAAGCGGGCGAGCACTGCTTTGCAGGGCTGTTATCCTCACCAGCAAGTCCGGAAAGCTACTCCCTAGTGTTTGTTTTATCATGAGCCACTATAGGGCATATTATAAATGCTGTGTGATGCCAGCATTTAGTTCATTCATTTCCTACCCTAATAAGAGTCCCTAATGAATTATTACAATCTATTAATCATGCTTAAAAGAAATACTTCATTTATTAACACAATATTTAATCACAGTGGTCTACAGAGCAGCACAGCATTAGATCATAGCAAGCAACTGCCAGCCTTGTGCATTTGCCTTTGTATCTTGCTGATACATATTTTGGAAAAATTAAAATCTGAAAGATAATGGGCTCAAAAACCGTTGCTGAAGAGTCCTTTAAGCCATCATCTTTCCTACCATACAGAATAAGGCCACTTAGAATGATCATTTATATCATGGACTGCACAAATATATCATTCTTTTTTATTGCAGGTTGAGGGATGCATAAATCTACATTTGTGATTGTACAGGGAAAAAAATCAGGACCAGCAATTTTGTAATGTTGTCCACATGAGTCTCTTATTAAGAAGACACATCTAACATTTATCCCTATATCTAACAGAGATTAAGAGCCGACTTTTGGTCCTTTCATACACAATTATGAATTTCTGAGTGTAAAATCTAACAGCCTACAAATACAAGATGAGGTGCTACAGCAAGATGCAGCAGGAGATCTTCCAGCTGTTTAACCTAAGACAATATAAATCATATGGTATCTCAAGTTATACAGTTTGGAAGTTGAGTGCTTTTAAAATCAGAAACACATCATGCCTTCAGCAGCAGGAAAGGGTAGGGGAAGGCAACCATAGAGAAGAAAAGCATTACACAGATTCAGGAAGATTGCTCTGTCTTCCAGTTTCTTGTTAATTATATTATCCAGGAGGCCTTGCAAACTGAATGCCAGGTGGTTAAAAGCTGCACTGATAACAGTTCGCACTTTCTTGTCACCACCAGCACAATTGCTGACAGACTTCCCCCAGAATTAAGGCTGCTCTAAGCAGGCAATTCAGAGCACCTCCAGCTAAGCTCCTGCAATGTCCTCTAGAAGAGCCTATTTTTCTCTAATCACTGAAGGAACCTCAGAAAGGTTAAAATGAATAGTACCCTGCAGCCTAATTTGGCCTTAAGTTCCATATTCTTGTCAGAGAAAGGTGAGTGTCCCGTCAGGTATCCTGTTTAGCGCCACTGGCTCAACAGTCGTTACACATCACACAAGGATAAGCAGATTTAATAATTTTCAACATTCAGTTGAATTGAGAATCCTGACTGTAAAACTGCATGTAAGATACCTTGCACAAACTTGTCAATCAGTCGCTATCACTGACGTTGACCTCAGTGGAAGCTTATAGAATCATAGAATCATTAAGGTTGGAAGAGACCTCCAAGATCATCGAGTCCAACCGTCAACCCAACACCACCGTGCCCACTAAACCATGTCCCTAAGCGCCTCATCTACCCGTCTTTTAAATACTTCCAGGGATGGTGACTCAACCACTTCCCTGGGCAGCCTGCTCCAATGTTTAACTACTCTTTCAGTAAAGAAATTTTTCCTCACATCCAATCTAAACCTCCCCTGGCGCAACTTGAGGCCATTTCCTCTTGTCCTATCGCCAGTTACTTGGGAGAAGAGACCGACACCCACCTCGCTACAACCTCCTTTCAGGTAGTTGTAGAGAGCGATGAGGTCTCCCCTCAGCCTCCTTTTCTCCAGGCTAAACAACCCCAGTTCCCTCAGCCGCTCCTCATAAGACTTGTTCTCCAGACCCCTCACCAGCCTCGTTGCCCTTCTCTGGACACGCTCCAGCACCTCGACGTCCTTCTTGTAGTGAGGGGCCCAAAACTGAACACAGTATTCGAGGTGCGGCCGCACCAGTGCCGAGTACAGGGGCACGATCACTTCCCTGCTCCTGCTGGCCACACTATTTCTGATACAGGCCAGGATGCCATTGGGCTTCTTGGCCGCCTGGGCACACTGCTGGCTCATGTTCAGTATGTCAGCTAGTTCGTAAAACAGACATTGCAAATGCGCCATCTGGTCAGCAGGAGGTGCATTTCACAAGACCCATAATTTCTGTGCTCAAAAACCAGGATTTATCATACAATGAAGAATTAAGGGAATTTTTGGGATGTACACTTCTCCTCAACAGCTCAGATTAATCCATTTGCAGCCAAAGTACTTTTTTCCTCTTTCCATAGATCTTACCTCTCCAATCATTTTGACATCTTCTCGTCCGTACCAATCTGGCTCATACACTTCATGAAGAGACTCTGTAAGCTTCTTTGAGGCATCTTGCATCCCTGTAATTAGACAGAAGGAGGAACATATAACTGCAAACCACAAGAAACAGTTGCTAAATATCTTTATTTTAACCCACATGTCCCCACTATACTATTCTCTCTGGCATGTTTAGAATGTCGTTCTCAAGAGCTGAAACAAAACCTTTATTTTCACCCAGCTCCCCCAGGTTAACGAGGAATGTCCCTCACAGAAGGATTAACCCATATTTATATACAGGAAAAACGTTTCTATCTGATTAGGGATTTCATTTTCTATTCTGAACTAAACATATCTGAACAGGAATAACAACTCGGAGGGTAGTCCTGCCCAGTAAAGACATTTAATACCCAACAGAAAGACTATCACTGAGAAGGCAATCAAACAGAAACCTGCCTTTGGTCATTGTCAGCTCTTCCACCCTACAGAAGAGTTTCCTACCTTGTCTGTAATGAGTACCATGCCCACCTGTGTGGAAGAGGAGGAATCTCCAGGGTGGCACAGTTAAAATGGCAGAGATTTATGGGATCTGCTGACTATAAAAATTGACTTAGGAGAAAAGCTAGAAGGCGTCTGTGCTAACCAAAAGTGCTCCCCAGAATGAGGGAGGTTGCACACAGGCAGAACATATCTCAGGATTTCTCCTTTCCTTGTTTTCAAAGATATTTAAGTCTCAGGAGCTTTCACATGTAAAGTGAATGGTTAAGAAAAAGAAGCTTGTTATTCTTGTGCCCACAGTAATGATGGTGACCTGAAGGAATGCAAATAATGAAGCAAAGGACTGGCAAGAACTGAGGCAGTGTCCACAAGGCTAAGGAAAAGAGATGCCTGAACCTGGGAGAGTGCCATAACGGACCTGGTTTTATGAAGAATTATTATCTTGTATGCACACCTAGTAGGTTTAGAATATGTGGGGCCCAGCGCTTATTTACACTTGCAGCAAGGTGGTGTCTACAGAGAAGTGCACTGAGCCAGACTGCATCAGTCACCCTTGGAGCTCTTGCTACCACAGGTGAAACAAGAACAGGGACTGTTGATGGTTATCACTCTGTAAGACACAGAGGAGTTGGCTTAAATGTAAAGTAGCTTCACTGATATTACAAGAAAGAGCCTAAATCTATCTTCAGAGAGACCAGTTTGACCCCAGTGAATAAATTACTGCCCTCAGTGAAGGCACCAGAGTTTGCCTTTCCATTTTGATGGAGCACAAATACACTAGATGTTGAATATGGTTCTGAATCCAGTGAAACAAACCTGATCTCACCTAACATGCTAAGAGTCAGTTCAGAATCAGTAATTTTAAAATGACAACTTTATTTCAACTTCTTTGCAAAATCTGAACAACATTGACTGCTAATTTTTTTACCTAGCGTTAACTTTAAAAAAAAAAAACAACAACACATTTTTTCTCCAGCCAAAGTCTGTTTGCTGCAGCACATCTGTGCTGTCTTGAAAATATCTCTAGCGTGATCTTCAGATTTAACTTCTCAGTGGCTGAATTTAGGAATGACATCGATATTTCTGTTTTCTGCACAAAGAAATGTTTAGGAGTGGAAGAGGAGAATTCACTTGAAACTTGAATGTATAGAAGAGCAGACTTGACCTAGTCAGCAACTATTCCACCATATACTCCAAAACACACACTCAAGACACGATAGGAAAATAAATGCAATAATGCACATTTCCTCATATAAAAATGCTGGTCTATGGAATGGGTAGGATAGGAAAAAAGATACTGAAAAAAGCTGAAAGTAGATGGCTGTTCTCAGACCTTAGGTTCAAGGAAGAGAATGGCATGGGAAAGGGGGAGAACAAGTACAAAGGAAACCCTGGTGTTCAGAGGGTACAAGATTTCACCCTTAAATCCAAAGGTGCTGTGCCAAAACAGAATAATTGATCTCTTCAGGGATTGTCTTGGGGGTGCTTTTTAATGACAGAGCTCAGCTCAGAGAATTGGTATAGCACAAGAACTTAAGATGCATTTCTTCCTTTTCTCCTTCATGGTTAATGCTTAGGATGATGTATCATTAGCTAAGAAAAGGTTCCTGAATGAAAGGGCTTTTTTTGCCTAGAATATGCCAGATTACAGTAAAATACAGATGACGAATGCATATTTTTCCAGGCAGGACTCATTTAAAATCTTTAATGCCACTGCGAATTAATCCACTCAGGAGGTAAGGCAAAACCAGCACAGTATCGCCGTGCTTAAGAAGGCTGCTTCTGTCCACTCAGGGAAAACACACAGACCAGGAAGGTTTGCGCATCCCTGCTCACGCTTGATCCTTTCTGATACCTGAACTTCTGCCCTTAAGCACGCTGCGTGCTAAACCTCCCACGTACGTTCCTATGGCAGGCGTGCTAGCACAGCTGCTCGCTAATCCCTCCTGCGGCACACATTCAGCTCAGTCACAGACCAGGCTTGGGTAGAGCACCTTTTCCTACACAGACTTTCTTTTTTAAATACTACAGGACTCAGGCATATATCTGCTTAAGAGAATAAGTGAAAGACACAATATCCCACGCTTGAGTCATATCAAAGTTGCACCAAGGTTTACACTTGTTTCAGTTCTGAGAATCAGGTAATCCTTCGTTCTACCACATTCCTGTAAAAAACATCAATCAAATCCAGCTGCAGCATGAGGCAAGTGGGCATCACGGTACTTGGTTTCCTCCGTCAGGGGCTTCAGTCTGAAATTTCCACAGACCAAGATCATCCATCCTACTCTGCTAATGCTGCATCTATACTAGCTTTACTGAAATACCCCAAATGAGTGCATAGGTAAATACCAATCTGGTGGCTTCCCATTCTTTTTTGTGCCTGTGGGCATAAACTTACAATGTCCAATGATTTTTTTATTTGGCTGGTTTTCACATAGAATTATTTCTTATGCACTGATAACTTTTATGCATTATTCAGCACTAAAGTTAAGAGGATTAGTGTCAGCCATAGACTGCAGGCTGTCTCTGCTGTTTTTAACTACTATCACTGAGAAAGATGAATTGTTTAAAGCAAGTCATTAAAGTACTAAGAAATGTGAAAAGAATTTTTACTGCTGATGAAGTTAGAAATTTATATTTAATATGAATTGTTTCATTTAATACCACTTCTTCTTGGTAATTGGGTCACTTATTTAATAACTACAAATGCCAAAATAATTTAATCGCTTAGGAAAAATGATGTTAAATAATCCAGTTACTGAAGTCTGAGGCTCTTGCATGAAATCATCCCTCTTTCTGTGTGAAAGGGCCCCTGTCCCTGGAACCCCAAAGGACTCTTCGAGGCCCCCCCATGCTAGGGATCCTGGGGGTGGTGGTGCAGAGATGTTCCCATTACAGTTCCCTAGATATGGCAGAGGGTAGGTGACTCTTTGCCATCACAGTTCCAAGGTACTCGAGCTCCCATGGAGATTGAGACTGGCCTGGGACTCCATGTCGGCTGTAGAACCCATATACTGTGGGGTTTCCTCACTCTCTGGCAGGGAAATCTAGACTGAATGATGGAGAAAATTCCATTTTCCTGATGGAGTGAGGCACCTTGGTCTAGCTCTTGATATTTAATTATTTGAGTGGGAAAGAGAGCTTCATGTGAGGTTCTCCAGGGAAATGACCTATCCTGCCATAAGGATTGTATCTGATATTGCTAGTTATCCCTTAGAGTTTCCACTGGAACAATTAAATAATTTCATAATTCATTACTAAGTTTTACAGAAAGATGATTTCTAAGAATTCTAAGAAATTACAAGATTAATTTTAAGATTTGTGTATCTGGAGGATATGTGCAGTTCTGTCAGTCACAGACTGACAGCAAAACTGCTTACAGACCTCCAAAACCTCCCCTTTCTTTCCTGTAGACCTCTTATTATTTCTCACTATGTTAAGCCACCTGAAAAGTACGGTGCTTCTTTTTCACGATGCAGGATTCCTTTTCACTTCTGCCACCTTGCCACCTGCGTGCAGATCCAGGTCTGTATCTCCCCATCTGCACTGGTACTTGCAAAGAGCTCAGGGTACAGAATGGGAGGCTGATTTAGGGTTTCTTTAACAATTGGCCCATAAAACCATTCAAGTCACCTACAGCTCTCAAAAGCGTAAAAAAATAAATCATGAAGTAGAGAACCCAGATACACGTTGCCAAGGAGACTGGAAGAGACAGAAGACTGAGGCATGAGATGATTATAGCTATGGGGAATAGTACAGTCTCGTCAGTACAAACACCACTGATACACAGCAGACATTAAACTATCATGCAGGTGAAATAAAACAGCACATAAAAGCCATTTGCAAGTTCAACAGCGTTATGACATGGTTCCTCCGAGCCCTTGAGTAACCAGCAGTAAAGATCAAGATCGAGCTAAGACTAAGAAGCACCCCTGAGGGAGAAAAGGAGTCTGAACACAGCAAACATTCTTTTATTTTAAGAATGTGTGACACTAAGCCTCAATCTGTCAAGTATATTAAAATGAAGGGATAGAGCGTTATAAGAAGGCTCAATTGACCATTTCTTGCTTAAATTGTGCCCAGATCTTGTACTTCCAACTTCTAATATCCAGTCACTCAAAAGTCATGCAGCAAAATGAAACTTATTCCTAGAGTTCACAACCTACCAGTTTCATAAAATGCTTTTAAATTAGCTATCTTGCCAATTCCTGATCCCTTTAAAATGAACTGCTTTTCCCACACCCATAAGAGTACAAGGATGTCAAGTGCATTATTTTCCAGTGATATGACTGATCTTTTTCCCTGCAAAATGAGCCCCTGATGACAGCATGCCTCCAAAGCTCAGATGTCCTAAGTGCAGAAATCCCACTCCAGTGCCTAAATTCAGGAGTTCCCGTGCTTTTGTGCATAACCACCCCAATATGTTTTAATGATGTCAGTCCTTCAAAGAATAGCAACAAAGAGGCTGTAGCAGCTGCTACAAGCAGCAGATTTGTTCCTGCCATTCAACATCTGGAAGGGCGTTTACCGCTGCTGAGCTAGTCAGCTTTGGGGAAGCCCCAGCCAGAGCTGTGTTTGTAGACTACTGTCTTGGGCTGTCCTCCCACTCCACAGCATGAAGGTGTGCCAACACGTGAGCCAAGGATGCCCACTGGTGGCTTGTTGGCTTTGGAGAATAACATTTTTAAAGCTTTTGCAAGCTGCTTATGACTGGGTCTTTTTTAAGACAGGAAGATACTGAGGTGTTAGCAAAGACTTTTCATTCTCAATAAGAAAGTCAGTCCAAATTATTTTCAAATATGGACTTACAGGCTGTAACAATAGAAAGATGCGGCACAGAAAAGCATGGCTAAAAAGGCAAAAGTTGCAAAATGAAAAATTTAACGCCAAGTTAAAACCAAAACTTGGTGCAAGGTGTAGCCCACTAGATAGTAAACCAGCAAAAGGACCATGAATGCACAAAGTACTAGGAAAAGAAGAGAGACAAAGAGAGAGAAAGAAAATGAAACATGGAGAGGATGATTGTTGTCACCAACACGGAAATCAAAGCAGCATGTAAACAGTCAGCCTACGTGACAGAAAAGCCATCTGGCCAAAAAACAGCCTCATCACACTGCTTCTGAGTATCCATCTGATAATGGGTGTGGGGAAGGGATGACTGAAAAATAAGAATGTAAAAATCAGCATCCAATGGGTCCCAAACAAATGACCAATGCTGAAATTTCCTCTAAGAACAAAAGACATTGTTTAAATCCCTACAAGGCAAAATACCTCTTGTCTGGTACAGGATTTTCCTTGCCCAGCCCATCCAGCAAATAATAGATGGTCAAAGACATTAAGCTATTGCTTTGATCCCCATTTTACAATTCCCATCAAAAAGAGGTTTCTTCCCTGCCTGTCAACAGCTGCCTAAGCTTTATTATAATACAGTGATTTCCAGGGATGTTAATACTGGTTTGTAATGTTTTCCCAAATGGACTGGAGCCAGGTTAAAAATATATACACATACATATATATTTATCACACATATATATATATATATTTATGTCAAGAAGCCATTAATGTGTCTCTGTCAGCCACCAACTCTTATTCTCTTCCCTTTAGCACCTGGCCTCCAACTCCTCCAAAGAGAGGCGGCATGAGAAAGAGAACACTCTGTGTATGGTGCTAAGTTGAGTGTGCTGGATTTACAAATGTCCAGTAGGATTTAAATAGCTGTTTACTTAATCTCTGATATTTAGGCACTGACCAGTGAGTTTCTGCTACTTGGATTTTCAATGTAGTATTGAAAGAGATCATATTTTATTTTTAAACTTAAAAAAATGGGTTAAGCAGGCAGAAGTAGATGAGAAATCACATCATCGCAGGGAGCGTGGTTTTGGAGGGAGGAGATATCATCCAACTAGTAATACCTGGAAATGTTACAGTTGCGGAGGTCAAGCAATCCCTTGCCTTGCATGGGGTATTTCATATTCTAGCATTTGCAAAGACGAGTACCAAGATGCGTAGATTTTGTGGGTGCTCAAAATGCATGCAACGTGAGAATCTGGGCAGCAGTCCTGCACACAAAGGACAGCCAAGGATGAGCCGCGCATGCAAGACTGTACACACATGAGTTGACATCAAAGGTGCAGAATCCCTAGCAACAGGCTAAAGAGCCTATGCCAGATCCAAAGCAGAAATGTGGACTAGCAATGACAAAAGCATTACTTGTATTTGTCTTTGTATACTTTAAACAAGCCTACTTGTCTCAACTTTTAAAAAAGTTTGCTTTATGAAAACATGATGTAAAACTTAAAAATCACCTTTGATGGCTGCTAAATATCCTCTCAGTTCTCTCTGGAGCCTGGAACCCTCTGCCTGGAAAAGAAAAAACAGAAAAAAAGCAAGGAAGTGAAAACACATTTCAGTTATGTTATTGAAAACATATTTCAGTTATATTTTATGCATTAAAACGTGCATACAGTATGTCAAACTTAACAACAAAAAGCAATTTTGGGAGCTATCTGGTGAATAGTGTCACATGTTGCAAGCATGCACAGGTTCATACAGAAAAGGTGGCCTGGCCAAGATGCTATGCATAGTGTACTCTCTAGGGTAAAATTTCTAGCTTTATTTTATCAGTCATCTGCACAGGGAAGAATTCCAGCCAAAGAAAGACAGGTATATTTTACAGCCAAGGTCCAGTTCAAGTCAGCCTGGCCAATGTCCTAACCTGAAAAATAAAGAAGTATAATCACCTCCACTTGAAACCACTCAAATGAGGCCAGTCTAGACTGCAGAGAATCCATGCCCTTACATAAATGGCTTACTACTTCTGCAAACTTTTTTCCAAGTATTTTAACATTTTAATATTTTGCAAGCAAATAACTACTAAAAACAATAGCATTAGTTATTTTGTTTAGCTTGGCTAGTGCATCATGCAGTCTGCTGTGAAATCTCAACTGTTTCTTTGGCAAATACATCAAAATGATCTTTCTTTGTCTTATACCAACAGCCTTTGAAAAACTCAGGGTAGACAAAACAAAATGGGTTGCTTTATTTTAGCTCTGACTGTATCACAAGTTGGACTTCACAGCCCCTAGGATTAGCAATAAAGTATGTGCTACACTATAGCACATACTTTATTGCTAAAAAGCTGTTGTCCAGGACACCTTCAATAGCCTGAAGATTTTGGAAACACTCCATGTTTATCGGTTCCCAATATCCTTCAAATCATTTATTTAAGCAGTTGGAAACTATAGGAATATCAGCTTGCAGTCACATTTTCTCACATACAGCTACACCATATGGAAAAATCGGCTGCAAAATATGACTGACTGCTTAGGAGTTTTTCTCATATTTTTCGTGTGAAAGTTAGACCCCAAAAGGCTGCACGTGTGAATACTTTAGAAGGCAGAGTCTCAACTGGTATAAGCTGTTGTAACTCCAATTAAGTCAAAGGACTTCTGATGTCAGTAAAGGATTTGCCATCAGCGGCAGCGATGTTCAGAGCATTCAAACACAGGGGATCATAAGAAATTCAGGTTGAAAGGGACCATCTGGAGCTTAGAATCCATCTACCTGCAGCCATGTTAAATCCAAACAGTGATTCTCAAAAAATACGCACTTGCCTCCCCCATACACACACTTGCAGATTACATCCACTAAACTCACCTGCCTCTCCCAGCTCCCTGCAGGGAACTGGAGGCTTTTAGAACTGGATCAAAAGCCCCCAAATGACAATGCACCATGAGAAGAGAACAACTGTTTTAAGGTCCTGGAAATATTAAAGAATTTAAAAGGTAAAAATGCCTGAGTGGGCAGACTGAATTCACTTTATGGATTCAACGAATAGAAGGTTGCTTTTGCAGTAATTTGATCTGAAGCAAAACTCATTTTTGAACCTAAATTCATTAATCAACTAAATTCTGACCACAGGAATAGATCCACCAGGGTGATATCTGAGAAGCTGCTGAGTAACAGCACGAGCACAGCAGCACTCAGACCACCAATCTGTCTCTGGTTTGGGACCCTATTTGACACTCCAAGGAAAGGCAAATCCTTCCCTTCGTTCAGGATCAAAGTTACATATCAAAGCAGGAGCCAGACAGGCACCGGTTGAGTAATCAGTGGATTAAACCTCAGGCTTAACTACTTATAACACAATAGAAAGTTCTGAAAGTAGCGGTAGCTTGATGTTGTGTCCCTTAAGAAAATATATACATTTACATGTTCATACTGTTTAGTAAAAAGTGCCACCCTAACGCATCATAACAACACATTTTATCATCCTACATAACACAGTAGCGTCCTAACACACTTCAGAAGCTGAATTTTTTCTACTTCTTTCCATGCTAGAATGGGAGGTAGAGAGATGACAGAAGTTGTCAGCTTTCCATGGAACAAGGCATTAAGTGAACAACACTGCCACAGAGGAAAGGAAATTGAACCTGGGGGCAGAATTTCTTGCTCTAAGATCTGAAGAGGAGTATCGGTAAACATGCAGCAGAAAGAGGAGGGAAGTTCCCCTTTTTTGCATGCCAGTCTCCTCCTGGGAGGATCCTACGTACTCTGAGAAGCCACATGAAGGTATAGAAATTATCATAGAATCATTAAGGTTGGAAAAGACCTCCAAGATCATCGAGTCCAACCATCAACCCAACACCACCATGCCCACTAAACCATGTCCCTAAGCGCCTCATCTACCCGTCTTTTAAATACCTCCAGGGATGGGGACTCA